ACATTCAAATCGGAAGCAGTCTTCGAGTGACAGATAACTCAATATCTCTTCGCATAAATCATCACCGAATCTGTCCATCGAGTCCTTCGGATAGCATTCCTCTTCAGTGGACTTCACATCAATTGATGACAACTTTGACTGAAAATACAAATCATTAGTATATTTACAGTTATGGCAAATGTTATGTCATTTGAAACCTTTTTAGACATTTTGTGGTAATAATTATCTTCTCTTTTACCACTTCTTTGATTCAAACGAATGAATGAAATCTTAAATACAATAATAAGTGAATTAAAAGCGAAACCAAAATGAACTCAAAAAGTGTTGATTTGTTTTTGTGATAAACTTTTTTTGTTGTAAAACTTTATTGTGATTTAGTTATCATTTAGTACTAGAATTATATGAATACAAGTAAATTAACAAACATTATTAATTAAACACACGCTATGTCTACCACTATTGGGAATCAGTATCACCACCACTACTATCAAACCCATCGGTCTAAAACTTCACTTTTATAGAGTCAAAACTATTGAAAAAGTGGCTAAGAAGTTGAGAACCTCAATAGCAGCTTGCTGACGAAGGAAGGTTACTGACTTAAGCACCGTTTACACACAGTTACCTCAGCTTGAATCGATCGACTCTTAAAAAGTAGTCATTAAACTCGAGCGACAAATGTGTCAATCGTTTCATTGATGACAATGTTTTGAGTGTCAAATGAGAAGCACATACGTTATCATCAGATTCAGATCCAGTGGACGAATCGCTAAGACTTTCTTCATCCCCAATGATTTGGTCATCATTTTCAAAGAACAGGCGAAGACCTCGTAATTGTGCGAATCTATCCATTGTGTGGTATATCTGACACATCGTTACTTCATTGACACACGACATGACTAAATGAAATCTCTTTAATAGTTTGCATTCAGTTGCCAACCGTTGCATACAATCGATGAATGACTTGAGAGAACCGATACCTGTGTCCACGAAAACAAACAAATTCCGCAGATTCTTAAGGTTTGACAGCTCTCTGAGTGCACACAAAATCACCGAATATTCTGCGCCCGTAAACGATATGTTAATAGACTTGAGACTATGTCTGTAGTGATCGACAAATGCCTTGAAAAGTGGTAAATCTTCGGCAAAACAGTAACTGAGCTCAAAGTGAGTCAACCCTTTGGCCAGAAGTTGATTGTCTGAATCAAAAAGTACAGACAAATTAAAATATCTATACCAGAGATTATCAGTGAAAGTGGACAGTTGTGTGAGTTTAGTACACGACTTGATGAGCGGTTTGAAGGCTTCGGTATATGATGGCGAGTGGGGTATCGTTATGGCAGTCAATCGGTGTAATATCTATACCAGAGATTATCAGTGAAAGTGGACAGTTGTGTGAGTTTAGTACACGACTTGATGAGCGGTTTGAAGGCTTCGGTATATGATGGCGAGTGGGGTATCGTTATGGCAGTCAATCGGTGACCATATTTACGAAGAAATGTCTTCAGATATATATTATTACACAAATGAAAGCGAATGTGTGTTGCAGTCAATGAGTGGTTGTATGCATTCAATAGACTTTTAAACACTCTTTCGGTGGTCAATGAGTTGACACTCATTTTAAAGGATCTAATATTTGGCAACTTCTTCATGAGTGCGTTAAATGCTTCCCAATTCATGTCATTGGGAACCATTAAATCATGAAATATTCTGTTCACATCGAGATTGTGTTGTCTCTTATACACAGATCTCTGCCACTGTTTGGACACACATTCAAATCGGAAACAGTCTGCGAGTGATAGATAAGACAATATCTCTTCGCATAAGTCGTCTCCATATCTGTCTAATGAGTCTCTCGGATAGCATTCCTCTGCAGCCGACTTCTCATCAATTGATGACATCTTTGGCTATCAATACAAATGATTAGTATTTTATTGCAAATGTTATGTCATTTGAAACCTTTTTAGCCATTTGTTGGTAATAATTGTGGTCTTCTTCGGCCATCACTTCTTTGAATCGATGAATGAAACCTTAAATGCAATGAAAAGTGAATTAAAAGCGAAACCAAAATCCACTCAAAAAGTGTTGATTTGTTGCCAAAACATAAGGCATTGAATTCACGTGACATTCGTATAACCAGTTTAGCGCTCAATTCAATACTGCAATAGCTATCAGAGTATTGTATATTTTAGTACTATAATCAAATTTATTGTCAAAAACTACTTTTGTTTTAAAATTGTACAGTTACCATTATTAATTATAACTAATTACTATTAATACAAAATATTTAAATTTAGTTAACTCTCATTTGATTTAATATAAAATACAAAAAAGTTTTCAATGAATTAAATGTTATGAAAATTGAACCGGTACAGTATTGTAAATTACAATTTGTAATAATAATAAACTGAAATAACTTATAAACTGAAATCAAATACTGTAGTATGAATTAAGGGTAGTGTATGCAATGCATTAATCGAGCTGGATCATCCAACTTGGCAGATCAGCATCGGAACCACTATCACTGAAGTCATCACCACTGGACTCGTCCACATCAATCACAAAGGGTTGCAAATGATCAGTCTTTGAGAAGTAAAAATGTCTAAGTTTTGGCAACTGTTTCACCGATTCTTCAATTCTTGGAGTTATCTCCAGACCACTGCTTCCGCGTAAAGACTCAATTCGTGGCAAAAGTGTGTCAATGGAGTCGAAGAACGTCTCGCTTATCATGAAGTCTTCAAAGTTGAGCGACAAATGTGTCAACCGTTTCAACGGTGACAATGAGTTTAGTGTCAAATCCTTAAGAGTGTCATCACTTTCATCACTCTTAGGCTTTTCCACAAATAATTGCAAACCTCTTAAGCGCTGGAATCGATACAATGAGTGATACAATCGTCTCACTTGTGTGCCATTGATGGCCAATATTTTCAACTCCAGTCTCTTTAATAGTTTGCATTCTGTGGCCAACCGTTGCAGACAACCGATGAGTGACTTGTGATTCTGTTTATGAATACGAGTTTTGATGAAAACAGACAAATGCCGCAAATGGTTGAGTCGCGACAACTCATTCAATACACCAATCAATTGCGAGTTGACATCCCTTTCAAAGGATACTCTAATAGACTTCAGACTATGTCTGTAGTGATCGACAAATGGTGTCAAAAGCGGCAAAATATTCTCGTATTTAATACTCAACTCAAAGTGAGTCAACCCTTTGACCAGAAGTTCATTGTCTGCACCGAAAAGCGCAGACAATTTCAAATACAGGACATCGTTAGGTATGGCTGACAGTTGTGTCAACTGAGTGCATGACTTGAGGTGAGGCTTGAGGGCATCGACACGCGATTGATAGCCCGGTGTCGTTATGGCAGTCAATCGGTGGCCATATTTGTCGACAATAGTCTTCGCCATATAATTATCACAATTCATGAATCGGATGTGTATTGCAGTCAATGAGTCGTTGTATGCATTCATGAGTCTCTCAAACAGTGTTTCGGTGTCTTTCGAGTTCACTATCATATCAATGGCTGTAATGTTTGGGCACTTCTTCACCACTGCCTCCAATGCCCTCCAATTCACGTCTTTGGCGATGGTTTGGCCGACATGTCTGCCTCTGTGGTGAACCTTCTTCTCCATCAATACTATGTCCACATCGAAGACGTGTTGTCTCTTATACACAGATCTCTGCCACTGTTTGGACAGACATTCAAATCGGAAACAGTCTTCGAGTGATAGATAAGACAATATCTCTTCGCATAAGTCGTCTCCATATCTGTCTAATGAGTCTCTCGGATAGCATTCCTCTGCAGTCGACTTCTCATCAATTGATGACATCTTTGGCTATCAATACAAATGATTAGTATTTGATTGCAGATGTTGTCATTTGAAACCTTTTTAGCCATTTGTTGGTAATAATTGTGGTCTTCTTCGGCCATCACTTCTTTGAATGAATGACTGAAACCTTAAATGCAATGAAAAGTGAAACCAAAACACACTTTAATAGCAATGAAAACAACAATTCATTTGCGAATCAAAGCATTCAATGAAATGTCGAATCATTTCATAAGGCATTGAATTCACGTGACATTCGGATAACCAGTTTAGCGCTCAATTCAATATCAATAATGCGATTATGTTTTTGGGATTCACTTTTTTATACACAGAATATTCTAGTCTAGAAATAAATTGTCTTTATGTATTTTGAAGATACAGGTATAAAATAAATACATAGAGAAATTTATTTCTAGACTAGAATATTCTGTGTACCCGATAGAGTTCTGTAATTATGATATTTTATTGATATACTGGCACTTTAATCAAATAGTTGTCAAACAATGAAAGCAATCAGAATATATTTATTTAGATATAGAATTATAGTGAACATTAATTCCCAATAAATACCAATTAAGTACATTAGTTATATTTTATGCTCGCATCATTATATTTTATGATCAGTGATTACAGTGTAGGTGACAAATTGTTAATCCACACAGTATACAGTATAATATAGAATTTATTAAAAAGGTACAATGAAAATTCGTTGAGTGCTTAGTAATTATAAGCGAAAGTTTTCAATAGTAGTTTAATCATTCAAAGTAATACAGTATATCTATATTTGTAATGTGTGAGAAAGATCGGATTTTAAACTCTGTATACTTTACATGTGATTTTAAAGTTTTAAATTGTTTTTCATTGTACCCTTTTTAATAAATCGTATGTCATATTATATATTTTTATATAAGTACAATAGGCACAACAAACCAAGGATAATTTTGAAATCAATAATAAACCACAAATATTCTGATTTCATTGCTATCACTGATTTGATAGCCATCAGTGATACAGTACTGTACAGTGATGCTTGTCCTTGGTTCGTCGTGCCTATTGTATTTATATAAGTTATATAACAAATATTTTATATACTGTGTGGATTAACAATTTGTCACCTACACTGTAATCACTGATCATAAAATATAATGATGCGAGCATAAAATATAACTAATGTACTTAATTGGTATTTATTGGTAATTAATGTTCACTATAATTCTATATCTAAATAAATATATTCTGATTGCTTTCATTGTTTGACAACTATTTGATTAAAGTGCCAGTATATCAATACAATATTATAATTCACTGTATCGTACCTATTTAATAGTACCTATTTAATAATGTGCACCGTACCTACAGTATATAGTAAAGTGTATTGTGTATAAAACACCTGTTTACTAATTCGACAACGTGTATATCTTATGATTACACTATATTAATAGCAATATTAAATTTAATATTTAATATATTACTGAAATTAATACTGTATTTAGAAATATTTCATTAAATTCTGCATTTATTTCATCATTGAATTTCTTATAGTAAATATAATATGATTTTGATAAAAGTAGTGGTAATGTATTGAATGCTACACAGAATATTATCAATACAATTAATTTATAATTCATAATTAATGATGAAATATAAAAAAATTGGGTGTAAATTATATCAAGTTATTAAAATCAATATAAATATAAATCTATATACAGTATCATAAGAATATGTTTTATGTTTAGTTGAAAGTTTGTGTTCAACTTTAACTAAATTGCTTAATTAGAAAAGAAATAATTTAGAAATTATATAATTAATACTCTTTATCATGAAATCAAATGAATATTTTTGGGTGAGTTATACATCAATTTATTTTAAATATACTAAATTTTAAAGTTTGTAAAATTAGGATTTGAGTGAATATCTGAATATAGAGATTACATACACAGAATTCACACTCATTTTCATACCGTTCCTCACATTATGTACGCCAGTATTCTACGAATTGCTCAGTAAGTCAAGTAAAACTACAACAACTATACGACATCCCATTCCCCGAACTGCGCTCTTATTGGCCAAAATTGTAAACTAAGCTATTTATTTAAACTATTTATTTGTACAAAAACTTATTACTGGTAAACTAATTTAAACATTGATATTTCAGAGTTTAACAGCAGTATTATTAGTATTAAGTATTATACAACTTTTAAATTTAATTTACAAAACACTTAATGATTCTTATGGCACTCAAAATTATTTACAAATTGCCACACAATTTATTAAGACATTAAGTTTTGTGAGTATTAATAAGACTATTACTTTTAGTGTCAATAATTTTAACTTTAAATATACTGTATTTTGATATAAAGTTTTATACAATTACATTACAAAACAAACCCACAAAACATGGAATCAATTCTTCCGGAGTTTTATTATTCATATTCTGGTTATTCTTGTCAATCGGAACCGCTTTTGATTATTTAACAAAATTCTGGATTAGTTTCAATGATGTATTAAATTGCATTTCAAATATTTTTTCAATTACTAAAATATAACTGTTTTAGTTATCCATTGACTCGAGTGTTGATATCTTCACGTATTCAACGAAATCATTTTCGTTTTCACTAATTATCGTTCAGTTATTCCTCTCGTGTTTTGCGGACTCCACTCAAGACATCACTCCCCAGATCTCTGAAGTATTTTTTTTTGTGATACGTTTTAATATCTCTTGTGATATCAAAATAGTTTTTTAAATATTTTCCAGAAATGTTGTCCCAAAACAAGCGCCTCTTTTCTCTCGAAACTGACGTTTTCATGGTTTACACCAATGGTTATGAAAGGCTATCGCAAACCACTGACCACTCAAGACATGTGGTCTCTGGAGGACGAGAACCAGACCTCTGTTTGTGTCGAAAGATTCAACAAATACTGGAAACCTATTGTAGAAAACAATGCCCAAAAACATATTAATATTTTGCCCCCAATTTTGCGTACATTTTGGCTGACACTTACTATTAATTCATTAATTAAACTGACGGCTAGTTTACTTCAATTAACACAACCCTTACTACTCGACCGACTCTTAACATACTTGACATCGCAAACAAGTGAACCCCAATGGACAGGCTATTTGTACGCCATACTAATGTTTGTGTTACCGATGATGGCATCAGTATTGGACGGGCAGTACGAATACCGGCAAAATGTAGATTCAATGCGAATTAAATCCTGCATAATATCCAAACTATATGAAAAGGTCTGCCTAATAAAAAAAAGTTGTGTATTAATTCTTACCTCCCATTCCGTCCACCCATTAGTCCATAAAGTTGTCGAGTAGTGGACGTAAAGATTTTACGAGTGGAGAGATTATAAACCTAATATCAGTGGACATGACTCGTGTCCACTTTTTCCTGAAAATGTACAACACTTTATGGCTGAGCCCGGTACAAATATGTATATCCATAACGTTGTTGTGGAAGCAATTAGGTGTGTCCAGTCTGGCCGGCATAGCCTTTATGGCAATTATGATACCCATAAACACCATGAATACCACTAAACAAGATAGGCTTTGGACACAACTACTCGAATGGAGGGACAAGAGGGTTATGGCTATCAATGAGATACTTAACAACATTAAAGTAATAAAGTTATACGCTTGGGAACAGGCGTTTATGGATAATGTTAACAAATTAAGGGAACATGAGATGAATGTTTTGGATACTTTTGTAAAGAATACCACATGGACTTCATTTTCATTGAACGCCAGTGGACTTATTGTATGGTTGAATATTTAATATTTTAATCGTATATAACATTAATACTGTTTAATTATTTGTTAATTTATAGGTAAGTGTATTGAGTTTTACGGCCTTTACATTCAGCTCTGACCAGAATATTCTTGACGCAAATAAGGCGTTTGTTTCACTTTCATTATTTACTATAATAGGTACTAGTAAGAAAACACACATATAATTTTTATAATTTATTTTGATATTCTTAACTTAACTAGTATTACTTTTAATAATTAATTAATTTGATAAATAATAGGTTCACAATTTCAACAAGTCCCACGTTTTATATCGGAAACTATGAAGGTGTGTTAAAATATCGCAGTTTAATAGTTAACTTATATTAATTAATTTTATTAGTTCTCAATAATCATTCGCAGAATAAATAAGTATATAAACGGCAATGAAGTCAATGATAAGTTTAATGAACATAAAGTCAATGAGAAATTTCCTATTATTTTGAGAAACGGTTCATTTAAATGGGATAAGGAATCGAGTGATAAAGTACTCAAAAATGTTAATTTAAATATTGAGAAAAACTCTTTGGTGGCAGTCGTGGGTCAGGTCGGGGCTGGGAAGTCATCCCTACTGTCGGCAATATTGGGAGATATGGAGAAAAGTAGTGGTGAAGTAAATATTAGTGGAACTGTAGCGTATGTCTCACAACAGGCATGGATTCAAAACACTACTCTAAGACAGAATATTCTGTTTGTTAATGAATATAATGAGAGATTCTATGAGAAAGTGTTGGATTCGTGTGCTTTGAGACCCGATTTGGAGATCCTTTCGGCGAAAGATATGACAGAAATCGGCGAAAAGGGAATCAATTTGTCGGGCGGACAGAGANGTTGGATTCGTGTGCTTTGAGACCCGATTTGGAGATCCTTTCGGCGAAAGATATGACAGAAATCGGCGAAAAGGGAATCAATTTGTCGGGCGGACAGAGACAGAGGGTTTCACTCGCGAGGGCTGTCTATTCAGACGCAGACATCTACTTATTGGACGACCCCTTAAGGTATTAATTATAAAATTTTTATTATATTTAATTTAATACCCGTTTGACTGCCAGTGCTGTTGACGCCCACGTCGGCAGACATTTATTTGATGAGACAATCGGTCCGAAAGGCATTCTTCGGAAGAAAACTCGTGTTTTAGTGACACATAAGGCATCGGTTTTGCCAGAAGTCGACAAAATAATTGTCTTAAAAGATGGACTGATCTCTGAATTCGGATCATTTGATGAACTGATGGCTAAAAGTAGAGAATTCGCTGAATTTATAGCCGAATATGTGTTGAGACAGGAGTCAGAAGAGGTGGACATTGAAGACAAGAAAGAGTTAGAAATGTTAGCAAAACTGAGACAAAGAGTGAAACCAATTATCGAAAGACAAGAATCGCGTAACTCATTGGCCAGCGATGGTCTAGTCCGACGACATGGAAGTCATATCTCGACGACTACTGATAGCGATGACCAGAAAATACCAGAAGCTGGGGATCAAATTGAAGACATACAACAAAATGATGGAAAACTAATAGATGAGGAGAAACCAGAGACCGGTTCCATCAAAACCCATGTCTATAAGAAATACTTTCATTGGGTTGGCGTCCGGTATCTAATTGTAATATTCTTGTCGTATACCATCGCAAAGACCGGAGCCGTAGCGTCGGGACTTTGGTTGAGTAAGTGGTCAGCCGATGCACTCGACGCCCAACTGGCCCACGATTATAGACTACGTATGATAAGACTGGGACTGTTCGCTGGGTTTTGTTTAGTGGAAACGGTGTTCATATTATCTGCCCAACTGTCCATTAGTCTGGGATGTGTCGGTGCGGCTAAACGGTTGCATCGGATTCTGATTGAGCGTATGATGAGAGCACCCGTCGCTTACTTCGGTATTATTTGTATTAATTTTTAATAGAAATTCTTGATTTATATTACAATTCTCGACCTATTCTTCAGACACAACACCTATTGGTCGTAATCTGAGCCGATTCTCGGAGGACATGGAGCTCATAGATAGTGAACTACTGTTTGATTTCCGTATAATGTGTTTGAAATTTTTTTCACTAATCGTATCGATAATAATGATATCTATGGAAACACCGCTTATTATATTAGCTATACTTCCCATAATCATAACGTATGTCACGTGTCAACGAATTTATTCCGCGGGTTTACGGCAAATACGACGACTCATATCGACGTCCAGTTCCCATATTATCAGTCACTTTGGAGAGACATTTAACGGCACGTCTACCATTAGAGCCTATGGAGCGAAACGGCATTTCCTTAAAGAATCGCACCGTCGTATCGATGGGAGTAATGCCTGCGCCTATCAATTGGTTTGTTCCCGAGGATGGCTCGCTATAAGATTAGAGCTCTTGGGCTATAGTATAGTGTTTTTGTCGGCTCTGTTCGCAGTTGTATTTCGAGAGACAGTGAGTGCAGGTGTGGCCGCACTGGCCATCAGTTATGCCCTCAACATAACCGCTCTTATCGAGCGATTCATTTACGGTGTCACAGAAACAGAGACCGATATCCTGGCCGTCGAGAGGTGTCTGAAGTTCATTGAAATGCCTTCCGAGGTATCTATTGATATACTTTATGTCTTGAATGGAGTAAAAAAGTTTTAAAAATTACTAGAATTTGTTTTGAACATTCAAATAGTTTAGATATTTGTTCTATTATTTGATAAGAATATTCTGTAATTTTTGTGTTTTATTTATTAATAACTGATTTTTATGTGATTTGAAGGCCGAGTGGTTCAACGATCGGACAAAACCGCCGCCCGATTGGCCACTAATGGGAGGAATAGTGTTCTCCAACTATAGCACTAAATATAGACAGGAATTGCATTTAGTGCTCAAAAACATCACATTTGATGTCAAACCGAGGGAAAGGCTGGCAATAGTGGGCCGAACCGGTGCTGGAAAGTCATCCCTGGCTTTGGGTCTCTTCCGACTCATTGAAGCCACTGATGGGACGGTTAGTATCGATGGCATCGACT